GGAAAGAGACATTAAGGATGACCCTGGCCTGAGCAGTTGGGTGAATGGGAAGACTGACAAAGACAATGGCTTGAAAGGGAAAATCAGCGGTTCTGTTTTGGGTATATTGTTTCGAACATAATGAGACCGTCTTATACAGGAGCCAGCACCCATGCCCCCTGTAGTGGAAGCGCAGAGTCCTAACCACTGGACCACCAGGGAATTCCCTGCATAGTCTTCTTAATTGATTCTTTCTCCCACTGCTTCTTTTGTTATCACTTTTCTTCTCCTTTCCATCTTTTACTCAGATAGATGGTCAGTTTTTGAGAGCTGTAAGACCAAATACCAAGTAACATAGAGATACCCTCAACCTGAAACAGGGACTTCGGTGCTCTTAGACTGGGCTTTGAATGCATGTACAACTTAGAGGGAAACCTGCTTAATGGGAAACCATTTAATATGATTTACAAGGAAAAGGTCCAAGATAATAACAAGCACTCATATAACACTTGCAATTCCTCAGGTATCATTCTGGGTCCTTTGTGTTTTAGCTCATTTAGTCCTCTTAATAATTCTGGAAGAGAGCTACATTCACAAATAATAAATCCAAGGCATAGTAATTTGCCCAGAGTCACACAGCTAGTAAGAGGTTGAACCCAGATTTGAACCCAGGCAGTCTGGGTCAAGATTCTGTATAGAAATTCAAATAAAGCATACCTAAAACTAACCTGCTGTTTTCCTAAATAAGGTAGAAACAGGAAGAATCTTTTCAGGAAAATTGACCCTTGTGAAAAGAAGCTCCATAGCCTTCCCTAAAACTTCACTCCCTTAGCTATAAGCCTCTATGAAGGAGACAGAGAGAGACGTCTGGGACCATTGGGTTCACTTAGTTTTAATACTTTGCAAATATTATACATTAAAATTCACACTTTCAGGTTTTCTCTTAAAATGAATGAGGTCCCAAAGGGCATTAAGAATCAGTAACTCTTTAAAATATCACCCACCCCCATCCATATTATAAAAGCAATATTATTCTTTTTAAAATAACTTTTTTTCTAATAAAAATAAGTTCACTTAAAGTTTAGAAAAGAATAAAAAAGAAAATCAAGATCTCCTGTCATCCCACCACACAGAGGTATTACCTTCAATCTTCATATTACAAAAAGCAGCGTTTTCTAAAATTAAGTATGTAATTTTACATATTTCTTCTTTCACCTAACAGCATGTTGTTTATTTTTATCACTGCTTAGTCCTTGAAAGCAAGGTTTTTATAACTTTTATTATAAAAATAATAGTCACTGGAGAACATTAGAAAATACAGATAAGCATTGAAGAAGATAAAAACTACCCCTGCCAAATCCCACAAGCCAAAGACAACACAGCTTATCTTCACATTGTATAACTTGCCAGTGTTTTTTCAATAAATACCTTTCTACAAAAGGAATTATAATATACAGATTTCAAACATGACTTATAACTGCTGAACAGTGTCCCTTGATTGGCTATACTATAGTCATTCCTCGTTATTAAACATTTAGGTATTTGCTTGTCGTTTGACAAATGATGCAGTGTTGACGACAACTGATGTTAATGCAGGTGAAGTGGAATTCTGTGTCAGCATTTTAAAGGCTCTTGACACATGCAGCCAGATTACTCTCCAGAAAGCCTGTCCATTTATGCAGCTACACCAGTGTGTGAGATATCCCAAATGCTGCACTCTTAACAACACTCTAGAATTAACCTTTTTTTTTGAAATCTTGCTGATTTGATAGGTGAAAACATTCATCCTGCTGGCATCAGTCATCAGCTTTTTTAAGTGAATTGTTCAAATCTGGTAATAGCAGGTTGCCCAAAACCACACCAAGAATTGTGACTAAGAAGACAGCTTAAGACAACCCAGTACTTGGCAAAAGCACAGGAGAGGAGTGTCAGAAAGAAAGGAGAGGAGTGCATCTGAGGCAGGTTCAGGATAAACTTCTGCTGTTTAGGAAAGGGAGCAAAGAGTGCTCATGTCTCTGAAAAGCTTTCTGATCATTTTGGTTAGAACAGAAGCATCCTGGGTGGAAGGGGGTGGAAGCATTGAACCTGTCCCACATAAGAGCTCAGCCAGACTCCTTCAGCCTTTTGTCTTTCGGTATCTTTTCTTTCACCAAAAGAATCTTTAAAATTGCTTTTGTAAATATTCTTCAGATTGGAAGATTGTATCTGAATCACCACCTGAACAAGACATTTCTGAAGAATCATTCCAAGACCCAAGTGTAGAGATGCCCTCTGGGGAGTCAGATCACAGGAACAGTGAACTGGGGAAGAGCTTCAGTCTGAGACCAGTTCTTTCTCCACAGCAGAGAGTTCCTACAGAAGTGAGACCCCGTAAATGTGAAACACACACAGAGAGCTTCAGGAAGAATTCAGATATAATTAAACCTCACAGAGCGAAGCCGTACATATGTAATGAATGTGGCAAAGCCTTCAGTTACTGTTCTTCCCTTTCTCAGCACCAGAAGAGCCACACTGGGGAGAAGCCATATGAGTGCAATGAATGCAGGAAGGCCTTCAGCCAGAGCTCATCTCTTACTCAGCACCAGAGGATTCACACCGGAGAGAAACCTTATAAATGCAGTGAATGTGGAAGAGCCTTCAGCCAGAATGCAAACCTTACAAAACACCAGCGAACTCATACCGGAGAAAAGCCTTACAAATGTAGTGAGTGTGAGAAAGCCTTCAGTGACTGTTCAGCCCTTGTTCAGCATCAGAGAATTCACACTGGAGAGAAGCCTTATGAATGCAGTGACTGTGGGAAGGCCTTCCGCCACAGTGCAAATCTTACAAACCACCAGCGGACTCATACAGGGGAGAAGCCCTACAAGTGCAGCGAATGTGGGAAAGCCTTCAGCTACTGTGCGGCATTTATTCAGCACCAGAGAATCCATACAGGGGAGAAACCCTACAAATGTAATGCATGTGGGAAGGCCTTCAGCCAGAGTGCAAACCTCACAAACCACCAGAGGACTCACACTGGAGAGAAACCCTACAAGTGCAGTGAGTGCGGGAAGGCCTTCAGCCAAAGCACAAACCTTATAATCCACCAAAAGACCCACACTGGGGAGAAGCCTTATAAATGTAATGAATGTGGGAAATTCTTCAGTGAGAGCTCAGCCCTTATTCGACATCATATAATTCACACAGGAGAAAAACCCTATGAGTGCAATGAGTGTGGAAAGGCATTTAACCAGAGCTCATCCCTTAGTCAGCATCAGAAAATTCACACTGGTGTGAAACCGTACGAATGTAGTGAGTGTGGGAAGGCCTTCAGGTGTAGTTCAGCTTTCATTAGACATCAGAGACTCCATGCTGGAGAGTAACTGGGAACATAACCAAAGTGGATGGGGACAGGTAATTTGAAGGCATCTGGGGACATCTGACTAAGTCTAGCCCAGAGCCACATGCAAAAGCACCTTTAATATTAGTCACTATTTTACATGTTGCATCTGGAAGGTCTCAGGTGCTCTCTTCTTTCTCAACATCTTTTTAGACAACCCAACCCCAATTACACTGTTTTAAAGATTTACCTTTAATTCAGTGGTAAAAGCACTCCAGAAACGTTGATTTATAAAGAATGAAAGACTTGGTTCCTACTTAAAAGGCCAGGTATTTTAGCAGTGGTCTGGTCGTAGTAGTCTCTGCTTGAATGAGGGCTGTTGCAACAGGAGAATCAAGAACATTAGCCGGGAACGAGTATTCCCCATAGTGGGGCCACTGAGGTTTAAGATTTGGGGGAGTGAATTCAAGTGAGGAAGGGGATTCTAGAGCCAGCTGTTACTAGAACGGGGCTGGGGGAGGGATGCTGAATCTAGATACAGCTGCACACAACCTGCACTAGAGCTGCTCAAGTGCTCTATTCTAGTTACTGCTGTCAAGAAAAGACCTAGGAAGGACAGTGAGGTTGAGAGTGCAGGAAGATAATGAAATCCCTCAGCAAGGCACATACCTTTAAACCGTGCTTTCCCTGGCTCAGAGGCAGGCGAGTCATTTTTACTTTCCCCTCTTCCTGACAGCCGAGTATCTTAAATCAAGCTCTTTAGCCTGTTGGCCTGCTTTCTCCCTTGCACCCAACTGGTGTAGATCTCATCTCAGCACTTACAAACTGCTGTGAGCTTACTTGGTTTTTGGTTAAGTAAGCCTGATTTGAGACTCCCCATTACTGGTCTACTGTAAGGTAAACTGGTTGTACCCTCAGCCATCACCCAAGGCATCTAGCTTTGATTCCTTGACTTGCCACGTGCCCTGGAATGTTCCTCACTCCAGCAATCTCAGGCAGTCCTTTCCACTAAAGCAGTTTTCCACCCCTGCTTGCACCTGTGATTAAAAACCACCTAAACCACCATGACCAAATGGGACAGCCAACTGACTAATGGCAGGGAAACGAAGTTCTTGGTGCCGTCATTCCCAACTCCCTTTAGGCTAGTGCCCAGAAGCCCCTTCAGGCTGCTCGGGTAGCTTTGTCTCAGTGTCCAGGTGTTTGAGGTTCATTCATTGCATATCAAATAAGGTGAAAGTGAGTGATGAGCTCTAGAAACTCAAAAGGAACAGAACTAAGGAAAAGACAAGGGCGAGGCTTAGGAAAGGTGAAAACATTCATTAGAAAATAGTCTGTGACTGGTTTTAAGCAAACCAGGGTAGGGCTAGGAGCTGCTAGCTAACTACAGAAGAGGACTCATACAGGTCAGGTTCTTTGGTTGTCCCATCAGTGGTTCTGAACCACAGCTGTACACTGGAATGGAGAGCAAAGCCTTGAATCATGGGCCCTGGGCCCAGAACCCACCAAATGATTAAACTGGTTTGGGATGAAGAGCTCCTTCCCTGGGTGTTTATTATGTTTAATTCCCCAAGTTTTCTTTCTGACCAAGAACTTTTTCTTGAGGAGCTCCATGAATGTGTCTCCAAAAAGCAGACTTCCTTTCTAGGTATCTTCTGAGCTAGTCCCATACAGGACAGAAATGTGTTGTTCACAGACTGCTGCTTCATCCCCAGATTCTGTCACCCTGGCCTCAATGACCACCATTTGGCCACAAAGCCTAGGCTCCCCCAAGGAAGAGGCCACATCAGAAAGTCCACTGGTTGTCAAATAACCCTTTATTATTTTTCTTTGCAGTTCTTAACTCTGTGGAAAAGATAAAGAAAAAAAAACCCTCTCAGTAATAGGACAAAAAAATCTTATCTCCCAACCCCACTATTGAGGACTTATAGAATTTTCCACCTTTTCCCCAAGAATACATTAGCTTCCCCTCCAGTTTTCACCCCAATTTTAAGCAAACCAATGCATAAGTCACTTACAGCTGGACATTCCACTGCACCACTGTTGATGTCATCTATGATGTCGTGAGGGTGGCGGCCATCAACATTGCAGCCCACAGACTGGGCGGTCCCCAGGATCTCTTTAATGGTTCCTATAATTGAAAAGGTGGAATCAGAGGGCCTGTCGTCCCTCACAATCCTCAGATACCAGTGGGGAAATACAGGCAAGGAGAGGAATAACTTTTATGGAATACAGGAATAATCATCACTGCTCCCCTAATCCAAAATATATTTAAAAGCTCTGAATGGAAAAATGTCCACAGGTCCTATGATACCCAGATTCTTTCAAACCCAGAAAGACACCACACCCCAATTTCAGGTCTTACAGAATAAAGTCCCGTCTAAGTGGGAAAATGCCACTAAGTGAATACATCTTGCGTGACAATTAAGGTGGCCCCATACTGTTCTGTTCTTACCAGAGAGTTCTCTAGCTAAAGATCGATGCCGCATCTGTCGGGCAATGCTGACAATCTCATCAAAAGTGATGTTTCCACTGTGCTTAACTGCAGAAAATAAAAAACAGCAAAAGCTTTTTACCACCTGAGGGCAGAGCAGAGCAGACCAGTCAGTCCTCCCTCATCCATTTCTAACCTGTTCCCATGCTTTCGGCACAGAGTCATCCACATGAAGAACAACCCTGTTTCCTAAGCTGGGGTTTAGTATCAGCTCACCACTGGACTGCACCAGCCAACAGAAAACTGGTCAGGTGCAGTGGCGGGTGGCTAGGGACAAAGTCAAGTCTTTGCTAACCTTATGTGGAAGGGACTGTTTAGAAGAGGAGAAAAAACATGCTGAAGTGACTGAGGTTGATTAAAGCTGTCCATAGGGTCTGTCATCCAGCTAAGAAGCTGCTCTTTCTTGATTACTGGTTATCTTAAGTTTCTTCACCCTGCCTGAACATGTCCCTCCTGCAAGTATTGAGTGGGATCTGTTCCACACCAGGGACTGGGGAGAGCCACATGGCACTTCTTGGCAGTGCCTAGCTCTGTAACAGCTTAACAAATACCTGTGCCATCCCTAGGTTTCATTAAAGGGAGCACGTGCAGCTGTGTATCAAACACTGGGCACACAATACCACTCACATACTACCGGGCACACAATACCACTCACTACCAGGGAAAAAGCCACTCACTGTTTTTCTGCTTCTTTCTGTCTCTTGGCGGTTCCTTGAGGGCTTTGATGATCAGGGCAGAGGCAGAAGGTACCACCTCAATCTGCAGAAGAGATTCTCAATGGGAATAACATACCCTACCCCACCCTCCCATGAGAACAACTAATACTACCATGCACCTTGGCTCTCAGAATCCATGGGGCCAGATGCCACATTTACTGTACATTCAGGTTAATTTTCACAACCTGAAACACGTCCTACCCCAGCAAACATGAGTGATTTACCCAGTGTCTCAAAAGTGAGAAGAGCTAGTATCTGACCCATGCTCTCAAAAGCCTTCCCCACAGGTAAAATTGCTCTTACTTCACCACTGGTGGCAGGTGAACATGCCAGCAAAAAACCTTCCTCCCAGCAATCCCTACCTCTGCCCTCCCTCAAACCAAGTACCTGGGCCTGTCGGTTCTGAATGGTCAGTTTCACTGTAATCCTCAGACCCTTCCAATCACCAGTTGCCTTGGCGATGTCATCACCAACTTTTTTTGGAGACTGCAGAAATAAAAGGTATATGATCACACCAGGCCCCACATGGAAGCAGTCTGGAAATCTGCCCGGTCCTCCTCACTTGGCAGCACAAGCAAGCTGTTTGAAACACGTTTAACTTTGCCTGCCCAATCGAGGCACGGCTATCACCATACTAAACTGGAAAACTGAGGCTGCAGGTTTAGTTGGTCCAGGGCTGTAAACTGCAGGTTCAAGCCCACAATGGGACCAGGGCCTTTATCTACCTACCCTCTCCTAAGGACCTATGTGGTAATTTTCAACTCTCTTACATCTGAATCAACGGGGGTCTCTTTAAAGACACCAGGTCCTTGTGTCTGACCAACCCTAGTCAATCTGTGGGGATGAGGTCTGGGCATTTGCCCCTTTACAATTCCCTAAACAGGAGAGATGTCCAGTGCCAGCTAAGCTAAGGATCAAGGAAGAGTAATGAGGTCACTGCTTAAGCAAAACCATGGTGGGAGAGCTTTTCAGACAGGAGACCACTGCTCAAGGAATAAAGGCCTGATTATATTCAAGAAAAAGGAAGTTCAGTAAAGAGTATAAAATGGAGGAAACTTAAAAAACTACAAATAGAACTACCATATGACCCAGCAATCCCACTACTAGGTATATACCCTGAGGAAACCAGAATTCAGAAAGAGTCATGTACCAAAATGTTCATTGCAGCTCTATTTACAATAGCCCGGAGGTGGAAACAACCTAAGTGCCCATCGTTGGATGAATGGATAAAGAAGATGTGGCACATATATACAATGGAATATTACTCAGCCATAAAAAGAAACGAAATTGAGCTATTTGTAATGAGGTGGATAGATCTAGAGTCTGTCATACAGAGTGAAGTAAGTCAGAAAGAGAAGGACAAATACCGTATGCTAACACATATATATGGAATTTAAGAAAAAAAAAAATGTTATGAAGAACCTAGGGGTAAAACAGGAATAAAGACAGAGACCTACTGGAGAACAGACTTGAGGATATGGGGAGGGGGAAGGGTGAGGTGTGTTAGGGCGAGAGAGAGACATGGACATATATATACTAACAAACGTAAGGTAGATAGCCAGTGGGAAGCAGCCGCATGGCTCAGGGAAACCGGCTCGGTTCTTTGTGGCTGTCTGGAGGGGTGGGATAGGGAGGGTGGGAGGGAGGGAGACAAAGAGGGAAGAGATATGGGAACATATATATATGTATAACTGACTCACTCTGTTATAAAGCAGAAACTAACACACCATTGTAAAGCAATTATACCCCAATAAAGATGTTTAAAAAATAAATAAATAAATAAAATGGAGGAAAAAGCAGGTAAATAAGTCTGATCCTAGGTAAAGCTAATCATATTAACCAGTAGGTTCAGAGCAGAGTTGTTTATACAAGCTACTGTAACATTCACCGAGATCTTCACATCACACCCCATTTTATCTTCCCAGCAGCCATATGCCCATCTCCCTAGGAAACAGGCCAAGTAGGCTATGCGGTGTCACTAAGCCACTCCTGACTTCAAAAACCTCCTGTATCCCGTCTCTCAGGGACACAAAGAGCAGCAGCTAAGAGGCACTGGAAAGTTACAGGTTCAAGGTACCAGGTTCCATCTTTACCTACAACCTTTCTGTGATGGCTAGTGCCAGTTCAGGCCTAGCTGGGGATGGCAATCGCTCACTGTCAGGGGCACCTCAGACACAATCGTGTTTGCACAAGCCAGAGTCGAACTCTGCTCTCCGCATACAAAAAGCGCCCCTCCACAAGGATGACTTACCAGACCCAGGGGGCCGATCTTGGGGGCCAGGGCAGACGTGGCACCGACTTCCCCACCGGTGCACCTCAGGTACACTGGGAGAAAGAAAGGATCAGTGCCTCCGCAAGGGGAGCCCCCAAGTCACAGCCCTCCCAACGCATCCTTCCGGGCCTGGCCACACCACCTTCTGCCTCTTTTCAAAACAGCCCCAAAAACCTCGGGTGGAGCGAGCCAGGACACCCCTCCCCGCAAGGCTTGGACCGCTCCAAGCGCCACGTGGGACAGCGGCCTTCCGCTTGGCTACCGCTGCCGAGGCCCACACCGCGCCGGCGTGGAGGAAGCCCCGGACGCCGGCCAACGCAGCCTAGGGGGACGCGCCCGGAGACAAACCTTACCCTAAGGGTGGGGGCTGCAAAGCCGCCACAGGTCGTCCGGTCCTGCCCCCGCATCTACACGTGGGGAAGCTGAGGCCCAGAAAGCGGGTCGGCCAGGACCACACAGCGCCCTGAACGCAGCACCAGAGGGCCAGCCTCTAGGGGGCAGCGGCTCTAAAACCCGCCGTGGGAAAGGCAATTGCGGCGGAGGCCGCAAGCCGGACGGAACGCGGGGAGGGATGCACCATCCCGAAGCCCCGGCCACATCTAAAGCACGCACCGACTTTGATCTCGTTGGGGTCGAACTTAGGCGGCATGGTGGAAGCGTCTGGTGTCGGATGAACCCGGATTCGGGACGACCGAGAAGAGTTACACCTTAGCCTCCTCCGAGCCGAAAGCCGAAAGACCGGAAGGTGGGGCACTTGCGCCGGTTAAAGGCCTGAAAGCGCGGCGCTCGCGAGAACTGCCGTCTCCGCCCCATCTTGCAGCGACGCCCTTGGTGCCATATTGCTTGTGGGCAGGCACCTAAGGCTGAAGGCTGGAGAAGGAGGCACGGCGGTGAGCTGCAGCTAGGGGTTCTGAAGCGGGGCTCGGGGCAGTTCTCCCGTGGGAGGCAGACAACAGAGCGCTGCTCCCGAGATCTCAGGCTCCGTTGCTGCCCATTCTCCCTGAGGGTCACCCCATAGTCCCTGTCACTCTATCCCAGAACCCCGCCCCTCTCCTGCGGGTCCGCACCAGCGTTCCGAGACCCCACGGCCACGGCAATCCCCTACCCCCTTCTAATTCCCTCCTGATGTGGGTATTTTAGCTATTAAAACAATTTTCTTAGAGTCTAAATCTGGTCCAGCTCTTAATTCTAAGATTCTGCGGTCTTCGGTCTCAGACTTCGTCATCCTGGTCTGCACGACTTTCGGAGATTCTGAGTTTCCGTCCCCAGTTCCCGCGTTTGGAGGAGAGCAGACTGTGGCTCCGCCGGGCCTGTGCCGGGTGGTCTGTCACCCGGCGTCCATGACCAAGACCTGCGAGTGATCGGCCTGCCTTGAGGTCCACCAGAGGGAACGAACGTCGGAGACCTGTGTATCCGCAAAGCAAGGTTGGGCACTGCCCACCCCGGCCAGGGGAGGAGGGTGTGGCTCTTCCTATCTGAGCTGGACGTCGGGGGAGGGGATGGGGGAGGCGTGGACGTCCGGGAGCAGGTCGGGAAGAGCTGATCTTCTAGGAGGAATGGAGGAGAGGTGGCCGTTGGGGAGGAGGTGAGGGAAAGCTAGTCATTGGGGAGCAAGCGGATACGAGCTGGTCATCAGGGAGAGATGGGGAGGGCTGTTTTTAGATCATTCCCCATCCCTGCAGACAGGTGGGGTGACAAGAGGAGCCTGAGCCAGCTCTGCAGGCTTGGCCAGCTCCGCAGACAGCCTTCACCTCTATAGGCAGGGACCTGTGATCTCTACGCCTCCCCTTGAGGAATGGGCGTGTGTCTTCTTCGACTGCATCTTCTCCCTGGCCCCTTTCTCCCTAGGTCCTTCAGCTGTAGTAGGCCCTGAATAAATGTTTGTTAGCTGTGTGGTGCTACGTGGTTAACATTTTTGGGGCACTCATCATGTGCCAGGTACTGTGCTATGGGCTTTGCAAATATGGAAATCACTGGATCCAAATAGAACCAAGTGTTGGTAACATTATTACTCTCACTTTACAGATGAGGAGACTGAGGCTCAGAGAGGTGAACCAAGGGGACATGGTTGATGGGTGACAGATCTGGGATTCAAAACCAGTTAAACAAAGAAAAAACAAAAAAAAGCAAAAAAATTCTATTTCATCCCAAAGCCCATGCTGTTAACCATAAGCTTCCCTGTATGGTTACTTCCTGGCCCATTGCTGTCCCATATCAAATCTGATATTTTCTGGTACCAGGCAGGCAGTGAGCACCTGGCTTCTGAGTTCAGGACGGTATACTTAATGTGTGCTAAGTTACTGAAGCACCAAGGAGTTGGGCAAACTCCACAGGATCGGGACTTGAAAGAGCAGAGTTCCAGACTGGTTTTGCTGCAATCCAGGCTGTAAAACCAGATCGCTGAACTTGATGAGCATCCGTTTTGTTACTATAAAGAGGGCTGTGGTGAGAATCAAATGGGATAATAACTGTGAGAGTGGCAAGATGCCTGAGGATTGCTGTTGAGCTTTTATTTAGCGCAGAAATCTCTTTGGTTATGATGTAGTTGAGTTCCCCAGGGTCAAGGTCAGGGCTGGCTAAAGCCATGCAGTGTTTGGTTTGCTGATGCCACTCTGATAGTTTTTCAGGGCCTACAAGGGATTCATCAGCCAAGTCTGTTAGAGTCCTCAAGGAGCATCCTTGGGAAGGACCTGAGGAAACCTCTCCAAGTCAACCCCCTTGTCTAACGTGGAGGAGAGATGGGGGCCCAGAATGGGGAAAGGGTATGCCAGGGTCTCACAGTGGGTCAGGGGCAATTGTGGGCTCAAACCCAGGTCACCTGGCTTGCTGTTGTGCTCTTTCCACATACTGCTGCTTATTTTTAGTCAGCAAAGAACAAAGAGTGTTGAGCACCTGCTGTGCCAGGCTCAGGGCACAGACTGATGGTCAGGATGGACACAGCCCCTGCCCGCAAGGAACTTACAGTCCAGCAGATCAGCTACATGCTCTGTGTTACTGTGCTACCTGTCCTGGGTGTTGGGGACCTGTGACAGAGTCCCCAGGTCCTAACTTCTCTCCTGTGCCCTAGTGTTGTGAAGATTTGCTCTCGGAAAAAGGAAGGATGCCACTCTTCTTCCGGAAGCGGAAACCCAGTGAGGAGGCTCGGAAACGGCTGGAGTACCAGATGTGTCTGGTGAGGGAAAATGGATTTCCTCTGAGCCCATCCCCATCACCACCTCTGCCCCATGCAACAGGGCTCCACACTGCACTTGCACTCCATAAGCCGATCACACTTCTCATTACTCGTTCACGCTCTTCCCTGCTGGACCTCAAGCCCCATTAAAGCAGAGATCATTGGTCCACCTTCAAAGTGGACTAGTTGAACCGCATGGTGTCTGTGATCTCTTGAAGCCCCTTAATCCTATGTCTCTTTGCCTGATTTGTCCACTCTGGAAGGATGGACCCTCTTTTTTTAACTCTTTTTATCCCTAGGCAAAAGAAGCTGGGGCAGATGACATTCTTGACATCTCTAAATGTGAGCTCTCAGAGGTAAACTGGGGCGGTGGTTTGCCTGTGAATTTTTGTCTGCCCTTCTTTCTTAGATCACATGTCCCTAGGAAAGCTAGATGTGGACTGAGGCTTTTAAAAGGCCAGAAGCTCCTGTCAAGAGGTGTTTCCTTAGATTTTGTTCTTGTCCGAGAGAATTGAGATGATCTTTTGGCTTCAGCATAGTCTTTAAGAGTCACAGAGTCTAGAAAATGTACTCACGGATTCTTAGGGCACTGGGAGAGCCTGGGATTCTCTGCCAAGCACCAGAGATCTTTCCTTTGCCTCTCATAGCGTTCCTGTTGGGGGTGGGGTGGGTGGGTGGGCAGGTAGTCACCCGATAGCTGATTGGAAGGGAGGGCTGACCACCCGAGCAGCGTTCCTCCCAGCTTTCCCCAGGCTTAGACTTATTCACCTCCTGCCCCGTCTCTCCCCAACGCGGGTGCCACTCAGAACACAAGTTAAAAACTGGCAGGAGGGGAGGCACTGATTCTTCTTTATCTTATCTTAGATTCCATTTGGGGCTTTTGCAACATGCAAAGTTCTGCAGAAGAAGGTGAGACAGATCTTCATTTTCAGAGAATTATTTTTTGCTTGTTTGCTTGCTTGGAATCAGGTGGGAATTCTAGGAGTTGTCTTCCTGGCACAGACATCCCCCTTCTCTCTGAATCGCACCCTTTCAGTCTGCAGCAGGTGTGTTCACAGGAGAGCAGCCTTTGGCATCAGGCAGCTCTGGCTTTGCAGCCCTGGCTTCGCCCCTCCTGAATTGGGCAACTTCCTTAGGCTCTTCCATCTCAGTCTCTTCATCTGAGAAGACATCTGAAATGAAGACCTCCGTAGTTCTACTCTCACAGAGCTTTTATTAGAATTACAAGTGAGGTAGGTAGGCAGGTAGAAAGAGACATAAATGCCCCGAGTATAATGCCTGCCACATAGTAGACACTGAGTAACCGCATTGTTATTAATAATAAAAACTACGAGACTTCCTTGGTGGCGCAGTGGTTAAGAATCCACCTGCCAATGCAGGGGACGTGGGTTCGAGCCCTGGTCTGGGAAGATCCTACATGCCGCGGGGCAACCAAGCCCGTGAGCCACAACTACTGCGTCCGTGAGCCACAACTACTGAAGCCCACGTGCCTAGAGCCCATGCTCTGCAGCAAGAGAAGCCACCGCAATGAGAAGCCTACGCACCGCAATGAAGAGTAGCCCCCGCTCGACACAACTAGAGAAAGCCCGCGTGTAGCAACGAAGACCCAATGCGGCCAAAAATAAATAAATTTATTTATTTATTTATTAATAAAAACTACACTCATTCTGGTCACCCAGGGGAGATTAAGAGTGGAATGAATGATTTTTCAGAAAGGCATTACAGACTTGAATGCAGATAGATGAGTATTCTAAATGAAGTGTCTAAATGAAGGTAGGTAAAATGTGTTCCATACCAACAGAGTAGTGAGCTTCTCGACACTGGCAGTATCCATGCAGGGGTTGCCGCCTAACAAAAACAGCAATAGATGACTCGGACTGAGCGCTGGATCACGTGCCAGCCCTGGGCTAAGTGGTTTTTGTCTGTTCGCTTGTTAACCATCAATGGCAGCCCTCAGACAGGAATTTATTATTCTCTATTTTCCACAAGAAGATACTGAAGCTGAGGGAGGTTAAGATCAGGTCAGCTGCACGGGGATCCCTTCTTGGGATGGAAGGTAGAGTTAGACCTCTAAGGTCCCTTTCACCCTGGAAACTCCAGATTTTAAGGTCATCTGGTTCCACATTTGGAGACATCCCTTGTGACATCTGCAAGAGCAGAGAACCGGGCAGGGTGGGGCCCCTGGCAGCCTGAGCTGCGCTGAGCTGCCCCGCCCCCAGCCTCCCCCACTGCTGCTCTTCAGCCTAACATGTCAAAAATCTTTTCCACACAGGTGTTGATTGTCCACACGAATCACCTCACTTCCCTGCTTCCTAAATCCTGCAGCCTCCTGAGTCTCGCCACCATCAAGGTACTGGGTCCCTTCTCCCAGGCGTCAGGGACTCTGTGTGGTGTTCCAGGTGGTAGGCAGCATCCCCGCTCCCTTCACGCATCCTCTGTCAGAGTTTATGCCAGACACGCCTAGTGTCACGGTGACTCTGGGGTTTAGTCAGCATGGTTTATCGGGCACCTTGTCTGTGCTTTGTGTGGGGTGCACTTGCAAAGAGAAGCAGCCCCAGACCCTGCCCTTAGGGAGCTAGGTGGAAAGGCAAACCATAAGCTCATAGCGAGTGAGCTGGCAGAGAGCAGGGAGACCAATGGGCCCAAACAGGAAGGGATAGGAGGGACGCCAGGTGTTGTGTGGTCAGTGCGTGAAAGCTTGGTGAGCTGGGGCACCTCCCTCCTGACCGTCAGCTCCCGCAGGACAAGGACTGGGATATAGTCACAATATATGTGAGGTGAGACCCCAGGGTGGTTCCACAGGAACGTAAGCTCTGGCAGTGGGTATACACACTGGGAGAAAAGACTGGCAGCATAGGCATCAAAGTGGTTTTTATGGCTCATGATGGTGTGCAGGGATTAGGGGCCGTTTTTACTTCTCTTCATTTTTCTGGTCCAACATGCATTATTTTTATAATCAGAAAAAATATAACATTAAAAAACGTTTATGTATATATTTCATATATATGCATTTTATAGTACGTATGTGCACACACACACACACACACACACACACATATATATATATCCTATTTTTTGCTCATTTTCATTGTTAAAAACATTAGGGAATACAGTTAAGCATAAGGAAAAACATACAATTTCACACTCTAGGGAACTACTATCAATATTTTATTGCGTATTTGGTAGTATTTTACTATGCAAATATGTATTTATACCATGAGGTTTTTTGTTTTTTTTTTTTTTTTGTGGTACGCGGGCCTCTCACTGCTGTGGCCTCTCCCGTTGTGGAGCACAGGCTCCGGACGCGCAGGCCCAGCGGCCATGGCTCACGGGCCCAGCCGCTCCGCAGCACGTGGGAATCTTCCCGGACCGGGGCACGAACCCGTTTCCCCTGCATCGGCAGGCGGACTCTCAACCACTGCGCCACCAGGGAAGCCCCCCATGAGGCGTTTTTAACGTGAACATCTATGCATACTCTTCCATAGCTAGCTTTTTTCACTCAACAGTAAAAATAAATATTTGATGAATAAGAGAATGGAGTGGTATGATACTTTTAGACAGGAAATGAGATGGAATGATCATTTAGTTGGGGAGGACGGGTCGGTGCTCCTGCTTTCAACACCAGAGGCGTGGGGCACCCCTGCCCGACCTCACCCTTGTCTCTCCGGAGCCTGAGATCAGAGGGCCTTTCTCAGCCAGGGGCTTCTCGGTGTTAAACTTGTTCCCCTCCCGCAGGTCCTGGATCTTCATGATAATCAGCTGACAGCCCTTCCTGATGATATAGGGCAGCTGACAGCCCTCCAGGTATGGCTTCAGGAAACAGAAGACCCACCTCTGACCACCTAAGTAAGAAATGGCAGCCACACAGACCTGGAATGTTCTGGTTGTGCTCTTCCTAGCCAGGGCTGCACTTGGTGCCACCGGCTCCTCCCCCTTTGCTCTTGAGTTGCCCAGTGATGGCGTCAACATAGCAGTCTGGGCTGTGGGCATCTCTCCACCATATTTTTGGCATGTGCTTTTGGGATTTCATCATGAGCTTCCTCAACTTTAAAGAAAAAGAGCGCCCAGAGAGTCTACCTTTTCCAAATGATGAGTTCAGCACTCTGACTCACCGTCTCACTTCTGCTCCTTGTCGGTGGCAGCCCCTGCATTTACTGAGCGTTCACTGCATGCCAGCACCAAGCTGAGCGTTTCGCTTGCGCTGTTGGTTGATTGATTCCTCACAGCCACTCTGTGAGGCAGGTGTTAGCATCATCCCCGGTTCACAGAGGAAGACGCGCCGTCCTTCACACTTAGGTTAAAATACGTTCTCTTCACTGTGCCCCATCAGACCCTGTACGCTGGGCCTTCCTGTCTTCCCAGCCTCCTTTCCTTCTCTCTCCCCTCCACTGTCTGCACTCAACTCCTAAAACCCTCCGGCCCTCTGCGCCCCACCCCCGGCAGGGCCTCTCCACAAGGCTCTTCCTTCTGCCCGAGTAGCTCTTCCTCCGTCTCAACCCAAATGTCCCTGCGAATCCTCCCCGACCCCCCCATCTAGGTGGATCCATCTTGTTTGCCTGTCTCAACCCGCGTATTTCCCTGAGAGCACTGATTGCAGTCTGTAATTACTAGTTATGCTCAGCTGGCTCCCCTCCCGAAATGTCATCTCTGTGCGGGCAGCATCCTCACCTAGCGCACTGCCTCCCACGTGGAGGAAACTCAAGATGACTTGAATGAACTACCCTGCGAGGTGGGTGCTGTTATCACATTTACAGAAGAGAAAACGGGTCCAGAGGGATGACTGTAACTTGCCCAGGGTCACATGGAGAACATGTGGCTGAATAGTAGTAACTGCCCCCACTGAGAGAGAGCCACAATGAATACCAGGGTGTAGGATCTTTTGGGAATTGTTTACGTACATATTTTTGTAGAATTGCTGCATTCACTGTTTTGTAGCCTTTGGATACCTGATAATAACTCATAACCATCCTTTGGTTCATCAAATATTCATCTGCCACATTATTTTTAATGTGCTTCCCTTTCCATCATATCTATTTTTAATGGCTTCCTCATGTGTCATCCTGTCAGCCTCACTCACCTCATGATGCCACATCCTGGAGGGAGCGTGGCCTTCGGGATCCAGCGAGCCCGGGTTTCAATCCCAGCACCACCAGCTGCCGGCCTGGAAGCCTTGGGCAGATCCCATTGCCTTTATGCAGCTCAGCTTCCTTCTGCTAACACTGGGATAACTAGGCCTCATCACATGCTGCCTCACCTGGATCCCTGAATCTGCTCGTCCCCTTCTTCCTCCCGCCCTGATTGTGGGACCATTGTTGGCTATTTTGTGGTCAATATAAATGATACAACCTCAGCAAGAACTAGGTTCAAAGTCTGGCTTTGCCCTCCTGGACACATGACTTCACTGCTCTGAGCCTCAGTCTTCCCATCTCTCAAATGGGATCATAACAATCTTTATCTTCCTCAAAGGGCTGTCAGGAGATAAAGAGGTGTGTGTGGTGCCCGGATGACGCCTGGCCTGAAGCAGGGTAGATACTGTTGTCTGTGTGTGCGCGTTCTCACGCCATTTTCCCCTCTTTCTTAGGTCTTGAACGTGGAAAGGAATCAACTGACGTATCTCCCGCGTTCCATTGGGAACCTGATCCAGCTCCAGACCCTCAACGTGAAAGGTAGGGGCCAGGAAGCCCTGTCCATGTGACCCTTGGTCAGCTCTGGGCTGACCCAACCGGCATCCACAGGGTGCTCCTCCTGAGAACCATGGAGCACGAGGGCAGCCAGCCCCCAGGTGTCACTCTAAACTGTCTGACTTCCTGTTTAGTCCATCTGTCTTCATGGTAACCAGAGACAGGGCATCTGGAGGGTTCCTGTGACTCCTCCGAGCCAGGGCCTCACAGGGAGGAGGGCAGACGATGTTGACAGCTAGGCCCCTGAGGCTCAGTCACTGGTGTTTAGAATGTGGTGGACTGACTGGGCGAGAGTGATTCTGAATAGCGCTTCCCGCCACTGAAGAGCACTTCCAAATTCAACGGTGCCGTGAGCCTCATGACGAGTCCCTGAGGTAGGGAGAGGAAGGAGATCTTATCCCCAATTTACACGTGAGGAAAACAAGGCTCAGAGAGCAGTGACTTGCTCCAGACCACCCAGTGTGATAGTGACAGAGCCGAGATTCTAATGCGTGCCTCCCCGTACCCCCAACTCTTTCATTTCTTGTTGGCCTTAAGCACTTTCTGTACAGAATGCCCCAGTTTACCCGTTTGTAACGTATAAATAATGATAAAAATAATGGTACCCAACTTACTAATCACTTACTATGTGATAGGCACTGTGCTGAGCACCTCATATGCATAATCTCATTGAATCCCTCAATATTCCTATGAGGCCAAATAGTATTATCATCCGCATTTTACAGATGAGGAAACAATGGTCCAGGGAGGTCGTCAGTTTTCCAAAGTCACTCAGCTAATAAGTGGTGGAATGGGAAATTGAACCCAGGTTATTGAAACTCCACTGCCATGTTTTTCCTTATGGAGCCTCAGGTTCCAGGCCCTGGCACATGCCCCAGGCTCAGAGGGGGCACCCTCCTCCCTGGGTCCTCGCGGGAGTCAGGCGGGAAGATGGTGAAGGGGTTTTGGGGTGCTGAGCTGTGCCATTGGGATCCCTCCAGACAACAGGCTGAAGGAGCTTCCAGACACCTTGGGGGAGCTTCGGAGCCTGCGTACTCTCGACATCAGTGAAAGCGAGATTCAGAGGTTGCCGCAGATGCTGGCGCACGTTCGAACCCTGGAGGTAGGTGGGGAGATGTTCTCACCTGGGGTCCTACCTGGCCTTCCCACCGCTCCCTTCCCACATTCCTGGAGGCCTGCCCTGGTCACAGGGTGCTGGGGTCACAGAGGTCTCAACGTCCTCAGGGGCTCACAGAGCCTGAAGTGTGAACCGTTGTAATTATGTGACTTTTGCTGCCATGGTAGAGGCAGGAAAACAGATTTCTAGAGTGAAGAGATACTGCCAAATCCTGATGGGGTTAATTAACTTTCTATGAAAGACATGGTATTTGAGCCAGACCTTGAAAGAGGAAAAAGCTTTGGAGAAGTAGACACGGGTAACAGGCGCGTTCCAGGTGGAGGAAACAGTTCGGGAAAAGGCAGGAGGTGGGAAAGCCCAGGACACGTTAAGGGAAGAG